TTCACAGCCTAAACTCGGCCCCTTTCACAGCCTAAACAAGTTCCTGAGCACTTGGGATCTGTCCCTTCCAGACACCCGGGGATGTGCACTGACACTCTGCTCCCACCTGAGCTCCCTCCAGGTCGTTCCCCCCACCCTCAATTCTTATTTTCATCCCTGGTTGTGCCGGCCGGGCGCCAGGAGCACATTCCCGTCTCCACAGCAGCTCCAGGAGATCCCCCTTCCTGCCATGGAAGCGCCCAGCCCACCCCGTGCCAGGTGAGGGTTGGGGACAGAAGGGACACAAACCTTTCCGTGCATGAGTAGCCGGATGGTGAGTGTGACATTGAGACCCCCTTCGATGACTCCGGTGTCCATGGTGGGGTCGGCTCAGGCTGCGGCAGCGCTCGGGCCTCGGGCGAGCAGCGCTGGGGGTGAGAGGGGCCAGGTGAGGGGCTGGGAGGCTCTTCCAACCCTCCCCGGCCCACTCCAGCGGCATTCCAACCTTCCCCGCGCTCCTTCTCTCCCCTCAAATCTCCCCCTGGAAGTTTTGGGCCGTGCACCTCCCCCAAAGAGCTGAGCCATGGTGGTTTGGCTGCTCCTCCTGCCCGTTTCCAGGGCTGAACTGGACTGATCCCACCAGGATCCAGCAACTCCTGGGGCCACAAGGGTCCCACTCAGCCCCTGCCTCCTCCTTACAGGGGCTTCCTGTGGGGACAAGGGACTCCCGAGGAGGAACTGAGAACTTCACGGTGACCCTCAGGTGGGAGTGGGGACACAAACGGTCCCTGGACAACCACTGGGCACTGGGGACCTAAGAGGGACCCCTGAGTGGGTCCTACAGCTCTGGGGAACCTGCCTGTTCCTGTGACCCCCCCATTCCTTCCCCAACCCCCGAGCCTTCCTGCAGCTGCCCAGTGGGAGCAAGTGCCCCATTCCCGGAGGTCTGACCCTCTGGGAACCCAGGGCTGGGGAGAAAATAAACCACATCCACTTCCCTGAGCCCCGCACCCGCGTGGGGCCTCCCGGAGCAGGTTCCGAGGCGATTCCCTCGGACCCAGATAAGGCCACATGAGCGCACGATCAGGTTTCAAACCACCTGAGTCGGCAGCGGTTGCAAAACAGCCCGGCCGGCCCCAGCCGGGCGTTTAATGGGAATCCGGTAAATAAACTCCCATTTCAGCCCTCGCTTTTGCCCCATCAAAGTTTAACCGCGGCCGGGGCAGGGCTGGGGGTTCGCCCGCGGGCCGGGGCAGCGCTGCCTCGCTGGCAAACCGGAGGGGTTTTGCCGCGGCCTCCACGAGCTCAGCCCGACATCCCACCACATCCAAACTGGCTCCGCTGGCCCGGCTCGGGAAGCAGAGCCGGCCCCGATTCTCCCGCTCCGAGCCCGCCCGGTCCCTTTCTCCGCCCGTCCCACGAGCCCCGGCCGGTCCCGGGGACAAAAAGGGGCCGAGCGGCCCCGGTCCGGGCTCCAGGCGAGGCTCCTCCGCAGGGAAACTTCCCCGAGCTCCCCCTCGCCGGATCCAACCGCCCCCGGGACCCCCGTCCCGAAGTGGGAGCAGCAGCGGGGGGAGCCGGTTGCTGGGGCTGGGACGTGGCTCCAGAACGCGCCTGTCCCTGAGGCGGGAACGCGGCTCCAGAGCCAGCTCAGCCCTGCGCGGGGGGGGGAAAACCAGGCCCGGGGTCCCGGGCTCCGAGCACAGCTGGGGAACCGCGACAGGATCGGGAGTCACGGGGCGACCCCCGGGGCCGCGATGGAGCCCCCGGAGTGAGGGGGGGGGGAAGCAGGGAGGTCCCGGGCCGGCGGCTTCGAACTGGTCCCGGACCCCGGTGGGGGGAACCGGGAGCTCGGGGAGGGGCTCTGGAGCCCGGACGGGGTTGGGGGGCACCGATCTCGGGGCTCTGAACCCCCACCAGAACCGGGGATAGACCTCTGGCCGAGGATCGCGGGGCCCGGGGGGGTTCGGGGAAGGGGAAACACGGACGTCTCGGGGCGGAAGGAGGGAGAGGGCGGCCCCCCCTTCCCTAATCCGGAGGAGTGGGAGAAACAACAGCGCGGGATGGTAGGAAAAAAAAAAAAGAAAAAGAAAAAAA